GCTTTTCCAGCTTCTCAACTGGATGTACGTTTCTGCTTTTTAAAAAAGAGTTGTAGAGGCACAAACCCACTTTTTACTTTTTCCGGACTCACATCAGAAAGCCTCAGTGATCCCTCTTCTCCATGCACATTCCAGTAAGCATTCCTATTTCTTTTACACTCTGAAAGGTAACTCAAGGACTAAAGACTGGCAGAACGGAGCACACTCCACCAGCAGTCCTTACTCCTGCAAGTAAGACAACTTCCTAAGAACCAACCCCACGCTGATGACTAACTCCCAACACCATCATCCAGGTGTCTTCACCCCCTCCAGCCTTAATATTCCCAAATAGGGGATTTTCCATAATTTCCTTTGACAGGCACATTTCCTAAGTCAGTAACTTCACTCTCCCAAGCGATTTCATCAGGAAAAGACAGGGGCAAAGAGTTTTCCCACACCCCAGCAGCTTATAAAGTTAAATAGGTGGAACAACAGCAAAGCAGCCCAGCCTGCAGCAAAGCTGTCAGTTAAATGCTGGGAGTAACGTTCTGCAGGGAAGTGCCAGAAAATTAAGCTCATTAAAGGCTTTTAACCAGCCACGGCCTGAGATGGGGTAAGTCTGAGCAACCCTTCAGTGCTGTGGAAGTGATACAGGGCAGGCATCACCCCCTCCCCGGCTGCCCACCCTACCTCAGCCCCACCACAGGTCAGCCCCCTGCCTCACAGGCCCCAGGGAGCCAGGTATGACAGGGGTACCCCAAATTACAGGGGGGCCGCTCATGCCAGCCCCCCCGTATAGGGAACCCAGGTCACACCAGTACACCCAGTAACAGGGTGCTCAGTCTCACCAGACCCCCCAAATAACAGGGGCCTCTGGTCATCCCAGTCCCCTTCAAACAGGGGATCCAGTCAGACCAGACCCCCCCCAAAAAAAGGGTCTCTACTCATCCCTGCCAAATAACAGGGGACCAGTCACATCAGACGCCCCAAATAACAGAGAAGTCTGGTCATCCCAGTTCCCCCTCAACACCCTGAACGAGAGGGAGCTCTAGACATCCCAGTAAAGACAGGGATCCAGTCACACCGGACTCCAGATAACAGGATGGCCAGAGGCTCACCCCAGTCCCCCCAAATAAAGAGGCTCCATTCACATCGACCTCCCCCCAAATCACAGCGGGACCGCTCACAACAGCCTCGCCATGCGCGGGTCCTCATCATCCCACTCCTCCCAGTCACAGGGAGCCCGTCACACCAGTCCCCCCAGTACAAGAGGGGCATCCAACTCCCATCCCATCCCACCCATCAGCGGATGCCCACCCGCTCCTCCCCACCAGAGAAGACCCCAGTGGCGAAGCCAAGCCCCTCTCCAGGCACAGCGGACCCCCGAGCCCATTCCTCCTCATCCCCATGATCCCGGTACCCTCCGGTCCCCGGTACCGCCCTGGTGTCCCCCCGGAGCCCCGCACCCACCGCCGGTGCCCGCCGTCCCCCGGAGCCCCGCACCCACCGCCGGTGCCCGCCGTCCCCGGAGCCCCGCACCCACCGCCGGTGCCCACTGTTCCCCAGAGCCCCGCACCCACCGCCGGTGCCCACTGTTCCCCAGAGCCCCGCACCCACCGCCGGTGCCTGGTGTCCCCCGGAGCCCCGCACCCACCGCCGGTGCCCGCCGTCCCCCGGAGCCCCGCACCCACCGCCGGTGCCCACTGTTCCCCAGAGCCCCGCACCCACCGCCGGTGCCCGGTGTCCCCGGAGCCCCGCACCCACCGCCGGTGCCCGCCGTCCCCGGAGCTCCGCACCCACCGCCGGTCCCCGCCGTCCCCCGGAGCCCCGCACCCACCGCCGGTGCCCGCCGTCCCCCGGAGCCCCGCACCCACCGCCGGTGCCCGCCGTCCCCCGGAGCCCCGCACCCACCGCCGGTCCCCGCCGTCCCCCGGAGCCCCGCACCTACCGCCGGTGCCCGCCGTCCCCCGGAGCCCCGCACCCACCGCCGGTCCCTGCTGTCCCCCGGAGCCCCGCACCCACCGCCGGCCCGGCCCGCTCTGTGCCCGGCGGCTCCCGCAGCCCCGGCGCGACCGGCACGTACCGCGGGCCGCACCACTCGGCCACACGCGCGGGGGGGGAACACGCTCCGCCCCTGCCGCCCGCCAATAGGCTGTGAGCGCGCCTACCAAATCAGATCCCCCTCTGCGGAGGAGCGTTGGTACGGCCCCAGGACGGCGGGGTCTTAAAGGGACAGGAGCGCTGGGGCGGGGCGGGAGGAAAAGGGGGGATTGGGGACATTTGGGATCATGGTTGGGGTAAGGTGGGGAGACAGCATCGGAGCCAACATTGTATTTGGGGGGTGAAGGTGAAGGTGAGGGCCAGAAGTGGCGCCAGAGATCAGGTCTGGCTTGCGGTCAAGGTGGGTTTAAGGTCAGGGGTGGGGTCATGGCGAAGCCGTGTTTGGGGTCACGGTGGTGTCATGGGCTGGGGTCAGGGTGCTGGGGTCAGTTTTTGGACACAGGCTGTGCCAGAGCCAGGATCCCCAGACCCGAGAGCCCTGTCTGTGGCCACGTGGGGTGCCTGTGTGCTCATGGTGCTGCTGTGGGGCCCCCCCAGAGTCCCCAAAGGCCCCTGCCCTGGCACAGAGTCCGAAGGGGGTCAGGGGACCCCTGGATAAAGGCTGGAACCTGGTCACGGCCCCCTTCCCTGGGACCCGAGAGGCTCCCCGCCCAGCCAGCTTACAGCCAGCACAAGCACATGCTCCTGATTTAACCACAGAGCACATGTTTCGGATGTTTAGGGTGGCCTTCCTCTCAGCACTCACACTGCCACCACCGGGGAATTGCACAAGCAGCTCAGAAAACATCCCCAGCAGTCCCAGAGGGACATTTTGCAACCCAGACCCCGGGTCCCACAGGCACGGAGGGACCACTGCTCTCCTTTTTTTGGGAAGCTGGCTCACAGTTCTGCTAAGTCCAGCCCGTCCAAAGCCAGGCACACAGCCTGCCCTGACCCCACTGAGCAGCCCCAGGCTGTGTGGGATCACACGGGGCTGTGTCCCCTCCCTCAGCACATCCAGAGTCACCATCCTGGTGCTGTCACTGTGTTAACACTCCTTACAGAGTCAATAAAACCCTCAGGGAAGGTGCAAAGTCCAAGCTGGGGCTGGCAGGCACCCGGGGGGCCAGGAGGGGTGTGAGGAGGGGGCACGGACCCAAAAAGCACAGTCTCTGAGGTAGCAGTGCCCAGGGCTGCAGGAACACCCCCTTTCATGATGGCATCCAAGCAGAGGGTAGAGGGGTGTAAGGTCACCTGGGCACCACTGCCACCCGCATCAGTTTTGGGATCAACCCCATGGAATTGCCTCGGAGTGGCTCTGGTCAGAAAAGCAAAGGAACACAGATCCATTTTCCTTCCAGCATCAGTCTCCTGACAGGTCTCCCCACTCTGCAGCACCCCCCTTGCTCTCAAAGGGGGCAGCAATGCAGGTCCAAGTCAGTTCTGCTTTCGTCATGTACTCCCCACTCCTTTTCTCTTGCACCACAGTGGGTGCAGAAGAGCAGAGAGGACAGAGCTGGGCTCTTCCAGAGAATCCTTCCTGCATCAGGACAACTGTCCCGAGAACAGGGAGCAGCTGGCTCAGCTCCCAGCACTTGTCCCCAGAGTTTTGTCACTGCACTGACGCTCTGAGGACAGGAGGTCAACCCAAGGGGTGTTCTGGACTCTCTGCACACCACAATTCCAGGGCAGACGCAATCCTGGCATTGAATGCAGTGGCCTTTACTGGGAATGCACCAGAGGCACAGAATAACAAAGCTCCAGGGACAGCACGTTCCCAGGGGCAGCCATCCCGAGCTGAACTGGGAGGTTATTGACTTTTTTTTTTTTTTTTTTTTTTTTCCTTCCTGCTTTAGGAACTTCCATTCTCTGTCTCCCCACCAAGGAAACGAGCTGGTACTGCAATGTGCAGTGAGTAACATTGCCAGGACCTTAGTGAGGTAAATGCCAAAGTCCAATGAGCTGATGACTTCTACCTCCCTCTCTGCCAAATTTAATTCCTCTTTCAAGCCTTAGACACATTTGAAAATGTCTCATCCCGACACCTTCCCTCCCTCCCAGCAACTTCCCTTCCCTCGGCAAGGAGTTTGCCACGAGCCCTGGGGAACTGGGACTTGCTTGGACTCCACTGCTGGAGAAGGAGAAGGTCCTTGGCTCATTTATACAACAGCGTTTCACTGTGAAACAGCTGCCCTCAGGAAAGCAGGGAACAGACCTCACTAGAAAACAAATCCTCACAAACATCCACCTGAAGGGCACTGGAGGTACAACACATTGCACTGGACAAGTGGGTGCAGCTGGACTTGGAACAGCCCTGGGGACACGGTGGAAGATGTAGAGATCAGAGAGACCAAGTGATCTGCCAAGGTCACCCAGAAGCTCCTAAAAGACCTGGGAGCAGAAGGAAAAAAAAAACCAACAAACAAATTGTAGTTTTGTCCCTATCTGGCAGGTCCTGCTCACCTGGAACGCTGTGGCAGTTGTCTTGTCCCAGCATGGAAAGGAATGTCCCCAGGCAGGAATGTCCCCCCCACTGCCGGGGCCAAGCTCAAACCCTGGAAGGAGGTTTGCTGTCTGTTCCCCGGGATCGGGGCTGTTGCCGGGGCTGTTCCCGGGGCCGGCAGCGACACTGCGGTGACTCCTACAGGCCGGGACTTCCTCCGCCACTATAAAACCAGGAAACTACTCCCTGGAAACGCGCCATCCCTTTGACAGCTCTGCAGGGAGAGCGAATCTCTCGCCAGATCTACCGATAACGAGTTGGAAAGGAAAAATAACCGGCTTCCAGCGTTTTCCAGGGTGCAGTTCCACTTGTCCCCAGTGCGCGTCCAAAGCCACCAGCCTGACACGGAGCTGGCACCGTCAGCCACCCGCAGCCCATCCCACAGATCCCGCCCCACAGACCCCACCCCACCCAGCCCACCACCCGGAGGGGCGCGCTCCACCTCCCCGTTTGAAAGCAAACCCAGAGACCGTAGCAATTTGTCTTTCAGATTCTATTTCCAGTTCCCAACACTCATGATTGCTATCAATGCTCATCACCCTCCTGGAAAAATCCGTGATAAAATTCCTAGGCTTACAGGCAAGGATTTCACAAGGAGGAAAAATCAAGGCACTAGCAGAGAGTGGAGTATCAACATTTCAATGTTATCTCTAGCATTTCTTTCCTGGTACTAAAAACATGCTTTTAAATTCCAAACAAGCTCCTTATCCCGCTCTTGCTCCACACTAAACACTTAACAATGCAACTGCTGTCAGCAGGAAAAACGGGACCATGAAGCCAATTCCATTTGTGACCCCGTGGAGGAGTGAAACAATCAGGGACCAGAGGGAGCTGGCCCTCAACTCCAGCCTGCTGGAGAAGTGGCTGTACAGCAACAAGGGGCTTCCTTAGACACTGATGATGGAAAAAATCAAAGGGGCATGGACTTGTTTTGGAACATGCAGCTGTCAGAGCTGCCTCTGGTCAGGCTTCCTGGGAGCACAGAGGAACCCCGAGGCTGTTGTGTTTCTGGGGGACGGGTGAGGCACTGCAGGAACATCTCCAGGAGCAGTAACAGCACTTTGTGCTTCATGCAGCACTTTTTTTTTGTTTGTTTGGAACACAACAAAACTCTGAGCAGAGTCAAGGGCAATAGTTGAGATCCTGGCTGATTTACAGACACAGAGACAGCAGATTCCTCCTGGGCACGGCACAGTCCAGCAGCTACACAGCTGGGAATAACTCTCAAATCCCTGCAACTCGACCAAACTTCTTCATTACAGCCACAGGCACCAAACAGTGCATCCTGCTCCAAATCATTTGCTGAAAACTCCCCTCTCCCACACACCTGCCCACCAGCTCCAAAGAAAACAGAGAGAGATCGTGCTAATATTGGTAGGTGAGACTTCTAAAGCTGAGCAGTGTGAACACCCCCAACAGCACTGCTACATTCCTTGGATTTATAAACATTTGCTCCACAAATGGCCAAAATTCGTTACTGAAGAGTCTCCCAGTACTTCCCATGCATCTGAGGTGGCCTTATTGACAAGTGCTGGTGACACAGGCTGAGCTGGTGCAGTGCTATCAGAAAATGAAGGCACCGTGTTGATGCAGGCACAGACTGCAGCTAAGAAGGACCTTGAGCATTTTACAGCTGTGTTTTGTGGTGGCAGAAAAGGGTGTTCTGTGTTCTATCCTCTTGCCCTAGCTTGGTTTAACAAGCTCTCTTCATGGCACTCTTTTAATGGGGAAGTCACCAGTAGAACACACACATCTGTCCTTCTCCACTCAAATATTAAGTTATAAAATAAGGCTTGCCTGATTCCCACCTGTTTTGGGTCCTAGCTACATCACACCTGTAAAAAAGACAGGAGTGTAAATGTGACAGGTGCTTTTTGCTGCAGCCTAGTTAAACTCCAGTGGTTTGACAGTGAGATTCGCACCTTGACTCAGGGAGCTGGTGCACTGGAACTCCAGTGGCAGTGTGGAAAAAGCCAGCTGCTGATACAGTCCCCACCTCCAGCAATATCAAAAAGTAAAAAAAAAAATCATAAAGGAAATGTAATTCAAGTAGCCTGTGCCAGGGAGCAGGGGAATGGCTTACACTGGAGCTACCAATGCATTCCAACAGTCAACCCAGACACAGCAAAGATGCCAGCAACGCGCTGCTGTGTGAGCATCACACAGTGGTCCTGCCCCTGCGTGAGTTCTGATGCTCCCTGGAGGATCAGTACACCTGGACTCTGGTAAATTCAGCTGCAGCAGCAGGCACTGTGGGTGCTGGATACCCTGGTGCTTGCTGAGCACCAGCCAGGGGGCCCACGCCCACAGGTGGCTGTGGATCAGTCGGGCACACGCGCTGAGGGGGAGAGAACGCGCCCAGCTGGCAGCACTGTCCTGGGGAGGCTCCCACGTGGGCCTGCCCACAACACTCTCCCAAGGCACCTCTGGCCTGGCAGCGGGAAGAACTGAGGCTGTGTCCTGCAGCATGGCCCTGCTGATGATCCCTCGTGTGCCGGCACACGGCCATGTCCCGGAGCGCAGCTGTGATGAAAGCCCTGGCTCTGAGCGTTGGGATGCTGCATCTGGGAAGCAGGAAGAGCTGGAGGCGAAGGGCAGTAGTAGTTTTGGGTGGGGTAAGTGCCTGGTGCAGGGTTAATCCTGGGCAGGAAGAAAACAGAAGGTTACACAGTGCTCAGAACTGGCATTGCCTAATTAGCGCTGGAAGTGCCCTGGGGGTTGATTTCCTCCTGACCAGCGCTCAGAGAGGTCACTGCAATCCATCAGAGGGATTCACTACAACAGAAGCTCTTATTATAAGCAGCACTTGAGTAAAAAATAGGTTTACTGGCCTCTCAGGACAGATGTTCCCACTGCCAACCCACACCAATTCCACACCCACTGAACGAGCGTGGTTCTTGGCCCCGGACTCTTTGTGCAAGGAACACACAAAAGCCAAACTTCAACGTGCTTTGAGATTCCTGGGCACATCCTCCCTGGCCTGTGAGGGACACATCTGCCAAGGCATTCATCAGGAGAAGTCACAGCTGCCAAGTGTTTATCAAGAAAACATAAAGGCCCTCGGTGCAAATAAGAGCCCAGAGTATAAAGCAAAAAAAGAAAAGGAGGGGAGAGTTAGAAATTAAATTAATTATTCAGAGGCAAGGGCTAGAAAGTCTTTGCCAGCAGAAGGGATGACTCATCCAGCCAAAACAGGAGAGAGGCAATCTGCCTAGAAGCTGAAGCCTCTGGGACTTCAGGAGTGCTGCTCAGCCCACGCACAACATGCAGATGAGCGCTGAGAATCAAGGCAATATTCATGAAGCCATGACTGCCAGACTCCCAGCAAGAACAAGAGACTGGCTCAGGCTGGGGTTTTCAGGCCTAGATTTTTGGGTTTAAATTATTAATTTGATCTTGGGTTGGTTTTTTGTTTGGTTGGGCTTTTTTTTAATTTTAATTGTGGACACAAACAAGCATGATGCCAAAGCCTGGACCTCCTAGAAACGTGTCCTGCCTGGTGGCAAGTTGATGCCTGAATCTTATGAAAATTTAAGAAGAAAACGAATCCCAAACTATTAAAAATCAGAATAATCAACATGAAGCTGCAGAAGCACATACAGAAGTTGTATCTAAGACACAGACATGCAAATTTAGCTGCAGCAGTGGAAGCATCCTAGAAACACCTTCCCACGCCCTGCTGGATAGTCAGATATTCACGTAAGTACCTTTGTGTCACAACAGTCTCTGTCACCTCACCAAAGGAAGCAGGTTTAGACCCTAGGGTGCTGTGCACAGCAGGATTGGACTGATGCTGGCACAGGCTCAGCATGGAGACAGTCCCTCCTCCCAAAAGCTGCACTTGCACAGGAAGGAGAGACTAAAAACACAAATGCTGCTGGATCTGCCCGCCCTCCCTGCAAGCACTCCCATGTTTGAGTGCCCTCGTGGACCTGGGGGACACTCCTGCTGCAGGCAAGGGTTGGTTTTATGGCTTCCCCATGGGTGAGGGCAATGCAAACACCTGGAAATGCTTCCACTTCAAATAAAGCTTTACAGTGAGCTGAGGGCTTAAACAAAACAGAGAATTTAACCCTTAACAGAAAACTATCCTTCCTCTGTGAAGATGAAATGGCACCTTAGAACAGGTAAACATTTGACCTACATTTTCAAGCTTTTTAGAATACAAGTGAGTTCTCACGGCTTGTGATAATACATAAAGACACTCCTGAATGTCAGCCATGGGCCCCAAGGTGTTTTTTTTTCAGTAAAGCAACATTGTCTTGGCACTGAAAACCTGCTGAAAGGCTAAAAAAGACCAAAAGGCCACTTTGTAAATGACATCCTTGATTTATAATGCTCTGCTCCTACATAGGTTTGGACACGACTCACTTCACAGCATTCCTGGGAGCAGAGGTGGGGCAAATAAAGATAAGGATCACACCCCAGGGAGCCACACAGCCAGGAATAAACGCCTTAAACCCTAATTCCAGGGCAGAGTTACACAACTTAACTTTCATGGCAGCCAGAGCTGCAATACCTTTGCATGTGTGCACACACTGCCCTTGCAGCAAAGGAGAGGCCTTTCACCTCCACTCAGCTTTCACTAAAGACCTGGTTGAGTTAATGAGTGGTAATTTATTAGTCCCAGTAATGTCACCGGTGTAACATCAAAGGGTGACTCTGCCTCCCCCAACACCCACAACATGAACTCAACAAACGCAATCCAGATTTTAAAGGTGATTTAGGGCCTCTACTCACGCTTCAGAATTCCCCTATAAGATCTCCCACAGGAACCCCTGTACTTACTTGGTGCTTTCAGAGGCTCTTCTCTCTGCTAAGGACCCTGGGATGTATTTCAGCCCTGGGATCCTCTTCAGCAGAGTGAAAGGGAACACCCGGTCCAGCTTAGAGCCCACTGACTCTGGAAAATCCAGGCAGAAACAGTAGCCAAGACCATCTGAAGCCAGGAGCACGTTAAGGAGGTCTGCAGACAAAACACAGTCACTCCTAACACAGCCACACACAATCCTCCTCTGCCCACAGACCACTTTCCCTGGAGAATTCTCTCAGTTCCACCCAGCACCATGTTCACAGACCATCGCCCTCCTCACTCCACATTCTCCGCATGCACAAAAGTCCCTGGGGAAGTGGAAGAATGAGGTGGAAAACCAACACAGGATGAGCAAAGCCAGGGAGGGTTTAATGCAGAGCAAGAGCCCAGGAAACACCATGAAAACCAAAAGAACCGCAGCACCTCCTTCCCATCCCGAACCAATGATCCTGCTTCCCACCTGGAAAGGATACAGGCTTCCCCCACCAGAAGCCCACACAGGTTACCCAGGAGAGAGGAGTGGGGGATAAACCACGCCACGCAGAGCACAAACCAGGGCACCAGCGCCACTGGAACCCGGCACCCGAAAAGCAGAGTCCTCTTCATCCGCGAGCGGGTGGTGGACACACCCAGCATGGCAAAAGCCACCGGCAGGAACCCTTTGGCATCTCCCACCTCCCACAGCCGGGAGACAAGGGGCTCCAGGAGGAGGTAGAGGAGGGCAGAGAGCACGGAGAAGGCGATGGTGAGGAGGCAGTGCTTCACTGTGCCCACGTTCCTCTCAAAGCTGCCGGCAAAGTACCAGATGGCGACGGCACCGCAGGTCAGGGAGACCAGATCCTCATAGACAAAGATGTAGGTGACCAACCTGTGAACTGAGCACGGACACACACAGCTTTTAATTGCTTTAAACCACAATCACAGGCTTGAGCAGAGGGAGAGAGAGCCCACGGGATTAATTAACGGCTTTTCCTTTCTAGGCTGGTGTAGAAAAGAAGGAACTCAAGGCCTTTAAAACCAGCCATAAATAACCAGATAGAGTAAAACAAGTGCTATCTTGGGTGTCACAAACAGATGGGCTGACTCTTTGCTGCTTCCTGGGAAGCTGCCTGGAAAAAAGCAGCAGCATCTGTAGTAAATTTCAGTCTCATTAAAAGAGAAGGCAAGAGACATAAAAATAGATGTTATTATAACAATGATTTTGGCAAAAACCCCACTCCTTAACCTGCTGGAAGGCTGACTTTCCTCACCAAACCTCACGCCTCAGAAATGCTCCCAAGCCCTTTGGACAGCTGTTCTCCTGGGCATTCAGAGAGGATGGAGGCAAAGAGTTCTTCACCTGCCTTCCACCAACCTCAGTCCCACAGCCAGAAAAACAGCAGTGAAAAACAAAACAACTCGTGGAGAAACGTGAGGAGGTGGTGGATTTCACCCATCAGCTCAGAACCTCACACTGCTAAAGGAAATCACTGCACAGGGGTGAGCTGGGACATGGGAATTAGAGGTGGGATAAAAATCATTCTGGAAATGCCACAAGGACTGAGGAAAGCAAATCCCTGGAAACTCACACTGTCCTTAGTGTCAGAGGTGGGGGTAAAGGGAGCAGCCTGATGTGAGGGGGCTGAGATGGGTGCCCAGGTCAGGGAAGAGCATGGAAACTGGGAGGAAAAGGAGCACGGAGAGGTGGGACACAGGGGTGGCAGCGGGCCCAGGGAGGGACTTGAGGAAGTGCCCAGAAATGGGGGCTGAGGGGAGGGACGGGACAGGGAACACACAGAGCTCCAGTGGGGATCTGGGGGAGGCCGGGAGTGCGAGGACACAAAGGCTCCGTCCGGGATTTACGGAAAGCGCGGAGAGCGGGGACACAGAGGCTCCGCCGAGGTTTGGAGAAGGCGCGTAACGGGAGCGACACGAAGGCTCTGTGGGAATTTGGGGACGGTCTGAAATGGGTGACCCACGGAGGAAGGGGGTGGGGTGGGATAGGGGACCAAGAAGGCAGCGGCTGCCCCCGCGGGCGGCCCCCCGCTCACCTTCCCCGTCGCGCAGGGCGGCGGGGCGCAGCGCGGCGGCGGGGACACCCCGCAGCATCCCGGGCGCGGAGGCCGCGACCGAGAGCAGCACCGTGAGGGCGGCGGCGGCCGGCGGAGCCCTGGGCGCCGCCATTACCACCCCGCGCGCACGCCGCTTCCGGCCGCCGCCGGAAGACCCGGGGGTTACCATGGCAACGCGGGGTGCTGCGGGCCCGTTGCCATGGAGACGCGCGGGGGAGGGGCTCTCCCCCCTCGCCTCCTTTTGAATTTTTATTTAATTATTGGGGTTTTTTTCCTTGTTCGGAAGGGGAAAATAACCCCGTGGGGAGATGGGAGGTCTCGCTGGGAGCCTGTCCGAGCCGGGTCTCCCCATGAGCAGCCGCTCTCAGGTGCAAGAGGCCCAGCCAGGCCAGTGCGGCCCCCGCTTCCCCACTCCGCGGGGCCAGCCTGCTGGGAATCACAGAATCACAGGGTCAGTGAGGATAGAAAAGACCTGTGAGTTCATCGAGTCCAACCTGTGACCGAACACCACCTTGTCAACCAGACCAGAGCACTGAGTGCCAGGTCCAGTCTTTCCTTACACACCTCCATGGACGGTGGCTCCACCACCTCCCTGGACAGCCCATTCCAATGTCTAATCACCCTTTCTGTGTAGAAATTCCTTCTGTTTTCCATCCTGAACCTTTCCTGGCACAGCTTAAGCCTAAGTCCTCTCATTCTCTCACTGGTTGCCTGGCAGCAGAGCCAGACCCCCACCCGGCTCCAACCTCCTGTCAGGGAGTTTTAGAGAGAGAAGGTCCCTCTGAGCCTCCTCTTCTCCAGGCTGAGCCCCCTCAGCATCTCCTCATCAGCCTTGTGCTCCAGACCCTTCACCAGTTTCATTGCCCTTCCCTGGACTAGCTCCAATCCCTCAATATCCTCCCTGAATTGTGGAACTGGACACAGAACAAGTGTTTCCCTTCAGGTGTGACAGACAGAGGTGGAGAGGAGTGTCCACACCACACTTCCCACCTGTGCTGGAGGAAATGGAGGGACATCCCTCCTCCACATCTGTGTGCTCAAACCAGGCTGAACCTGCATGAGGCTCATGTTCTGTGTCTGTCTTTGATTCCCCAGCAATATTGGCTTAATCGCTTGGCCAGTTTCAGTCAGATTTAGGAGAGGAATTGGCAGCTCAGAAATGAAGATACCAAAGTTCTTGCAGGTTTCACAGGGAGATGATGGGCTAGGGAGAACTTAATCTGATCCCTCCAAGGCAAATCATTCCCTGTGGTCATGATCACTGGCTGGCTTTACATACATGGTCAGCACTGACCACAACAATCCTATCTGTTCTTGAGTTCATAGTTGGAGGAGATTTGGGGATGGAGCTGTGGATATTGTGGTAGAAAAAGACTATATTTGTACAAAAGGAGAAAAGCTGTTGACACCATGCATCCCACCTGGACACGTTCCTGTGTCACCTGCTCTGGGTGACCCTGCCTTGGCAGGGGGACTGGACTGGACGATCTCCAGAGGTCCTTTCCAGCCTCAATGATTCTGATTCTGTGAACTCTGCGGTTTTCCAGCCAAGGGGGAAGAGCAGAGGGTTGGGGGGCTGATGTCTGTTCCACATCCCAGCTTCAAAGTTTTTGACTGGGAGCCACAGGAGAACACAGCACAGATCTATCAGCAGACAGACAGACACACGAGCTTGTAACTCTCAACTAATTCCAGTTTCCATTTATGAGAATCCTTCAGTCCCTAAGAAATGCACAAACACTGAGAGGCTCTCCTAGAGCAAAAGATCCCTCCACCTCCCCTGGCTATGGAGCACTGTTTGGGATCTCTCCTAATCCCAACATTGCACAGGCAGCCTTTGTGAGGTCCCAGGTTGTCACAGGAAGGCTTATGGCACAGGACAAAATGTCATGGCTGGACGAGATGAAGTTTCTCAAGGAGAAGCCAAAAGACAGGCAGGGAGATCAACTCTCTCCTTTTTTTTTTTTTTTTTTTTTAATTAATCATTCCAGTCACTGCCTGTTTTGCAGAAACTTATTTTCGGCTGTGGCAGTGGGATTTGCCTCCTGCTGCTACGCCTGGAGGGGGAAGAAACAGCCCAACTTCTCTGCAAATCTGCTCAAAACATTCAGCTGAAATCAGAGAAGGCTCCTCACCGCCTTTGAAAATAAAAACAGGGTAAAACCTCGCTGTTCCTTGGCTGAGGCATGTGCACACTTTCCCTAGACAGAAAGCCACAACTGCTAACTTCCCAACTCCCACAAGAAGGCACCTTGATCTGAAACAAGAAATACAACTTATAGAAATAATGAGATTAAACAATCAGCGTTGCTTTTGCTGTCTCCTCAGTTCATCACTCCTCCTCTCTGAAGCAAACCTTCGTGTTTCATAGAAGTGGCTCCCAAGCTCATGACCCCTTTCTTTAGAGCATTCTCCAAGCTGACATTTGCCCTTTTTTAAAGATAGCCAGAAACCCTGCCAAACCACTTTGTTCCCTCCCTTTAGAACCCAGATTTCTGATGTCTTCTTTGAACTCCATTCAGCATCTGCCACAAACGGGGATGCACAACCGGGGCGCCGCGAGGGAACCGCGGGGCTAGGAGGCCGGGGAGGGGCGAAAAGCCGGGGCGCACAGCCCCATTATCTCCCTGTGATCACCCTGAGCACGTATTAATTAAACTAATTCATTCCTTTCACGCCATTCCCGTTGTGCGCGCACATCCCTCAAACACCACCACCCCCCCCCCGCCCGCTGTGCTTTGGCACGGCCCTTCTCGCTCCCGTTCCCCCCCCCCCAGCCGGGCGGTGAGTGGTAGGCGCCGCGCGCGCCGATTGGCCGGCGGGCCCCGCAGTCCGCGCGAGCTGCGGGTGCCTCAGTGTGCGCGCGGCCGGCGCGGCGGGCGGGTCGGTCCCTGCGCTCCCTCCGCTCCCGCCGCCCCCTCAGCGCCGCCGCCATGGCTTCGGGTAGGTGCCGACAGCTCCCCCCCCCGCCGGGCCCTCATCCGCGCATCGGCGGCGGGTCCGCTTGCGGGCGCGGTGGGAGGGCGGGAAAGCCAGCGGCCATGTGGCGCAGGTGGGAAAGGCCCGCGGCCATGTTATACGTGAAGGGCTGTGTGTGGGGGACGGACGCGCTCGCTTTCGCCTCACGCCCCCCTCTTTCCCCGGCTCGGTGAGGGGGAGGGGGGACACGCCCCCCCGCCGGTGGCCCCCGTGGACACGCCCCCTTCGGCAGAGGCCACGCCCCCTCCCCGGGGAGCCCCCGCTGCGCGAGCCGCGCGGGCCACGCCCCCTTCATCGCGGGGGGCGTGGCCAGGCGCGCGCCCCCCGTGTCGCGACTGCGGGGTGGGGGCGAAGGGGCAGAGTCCCCTTGGGGTCCCCATCCCCTTGGGATGCAGCCCCCCTTTGGGGTCTAGGCCCCCTCCTGCTCGTGTGAGCCCCCTCCTTTGGGCTGTGCCCCCGGTGTGAGGTGTGGACCCCATTTTTGTTCATGCCCTGCAGTTTAAGCCCCCCACTTAGGGTTTTGTGCCCCCTCAGGTGTGAGGTGCGGACCCTGTTTTGGTTCGTGCCTCCCAGTGCAGGCTCCTCTGTTTAGGTCGTGTACTACTCCGTGTGAGATGTTAAATGTCCCCCTTGTGGCTCATCATCCTTCCTTGGTGTAGACCCCCCGCTTGGGGTTGTGTTCCCCCCGTACTCCCCACGGTATGAGATGTGGACCCCATTTTGGTTCATGCCCCATGCTGCAGGCCCCCCTTCCCGTTTTGGGTCGTGGTGTTTTATCCCTGTGGTGTGAAATGTAAGCCCCCCCTTGTGGGTCATGGTCCTTCCCCCGCGTGGACCCCTGCTTGCAGTTCCCACCCCACTCCATCCCAGTGTGAGATGTGGACCTCCCTTTGGGTCGTGTACCCTGCCATATATAATCACCCCCTTTTTGGGTCATGGCTGTTCCATTGTCAGAACCCCCAATTTGGGTTGTGTTCCCCCCTCATCCCGTGTGAGATGTGAACCCTGTTTTGGGTTCTACCACTCCCCACAGCCTGGTTTGTGTGGATCAGCACCCCCATGGAATGTAGGCTGTGATTGTTTTCCAGCAGAGGATTTAGTTGAGCAGGGAGGCAGGATCTGCTGTCCCGGGTGACCTGACACAGCCCAGCTTCTCCTGGGGCCTCTGCGAGCGTGTTCTGGTGCTCTTTCCTCATCCCCTTCGAGGTTGGATGTTTGGGTCCCTCCAGCAGCGCTGCTCCTGCCGAGCCGTGGATAGCAGTGTATCCCAGAGTGGGAGGAGGAATTCCAAGGCCGTGTGTGCTTTGTGGAGCGAGCCATGTTTTGTTAGGGTCGAGCCGTTTTGGTGTTGTGTCAGCTTGCAAGTGTGAGTGATAGACAAGACAAACAAAGCAAGGTGTGTTAAAGGAATCCTTCAAGGCAAGGAGCAGTTGTTTACCATGGAAAGTAAATGTGTCCAAAGCTACGAAAATGAGTCCAAATAATGATTTTTCTACTAAATGTGTAAAGCTTGGCAGTAAACTAAACCCACTCTCTCTCCATGCCTCAACTACTGACCAGTCAAGCAACCTGTCTCCTATTTTTTCCTCTGATGTCCAAACATGAGGTTCTTCTTCTGGTGAGAATATTGAAAAGCAATGCTGCTTCTTTATATAAATGACATCATATAAGAACCTTAGTTTTCAAATGTACACAGCAGATTCTTCTAAGAGGAATGCACTCTCTGAGCCTTGCAAGGAGATTAGTGTCCTATGCCCCACTTCATCCACAGGAAATTTTTCCGTGAGCTTTTCAAACAGTCAGTAAAAACGTGTATCCAGGAATTTCCAGAATAAGCTCATTTCAAAAAATATTTACAGACTCTTGTTCCCCTTGAGCCCACGAAAATAAATTGATCAGAAATCTGTGAGAGGTCCAACAGAGGATGTAGAAAAATTTATAAATAAAGGAAATTCCTCTGATTCTGCGTTTTCATATTTTACAGGCTCCTTATCTGATTGCTTTCAGACTTTTCCCAGAGTGTTTTGGTTTGGCAGAAGTTTGTTAGGGAGAAGCTCAGGAGATTAAATGTAGTCCTTGGGTTTATAACTAGTTACTTCCTCACTCAAGAATTCTTTCTGATACAACCATTAATATCCTTTGCTTTAATTAGCAGCATTAATGGCACGTAAATTTTAGAATTAAACCATA